AAAAATCTAACTGTGATGTTCAATAAGAGAGAGAGAGAAACGATCCTGAATGTTCTTTAGTCTTCACGTTACGCATATTAGAAAAATAGAGTAGCAGTACAATGTACAACTGATAAGAGAATATTTTCGATCCAAATGTCCAACTATTAGCTGCATTCGTAACTGCTTTCTTTGTTGATGTTGATGTTAATATTAATGTTGATGTTGAGCCTGGAAATAGATCTGGATCAACAGGATTGAATTCATTATATGAAATGGATTTAGCAAAACCCAATTGATTATTTTGTATATCAAATACTGAATAAAATCTCGTAAGGAATATATCACCTAGTATCCATATATAACTGTCTGATGCCTGGAATGCTGATACACAGACAGTAGGATAATTGACGTATTGAAAAAATAGTATGTATTGAAGTGCACTCAAATCAAATGTTTTATCACCTATTGTAAATGTAACAATAGGAAATGATGATAACGATCGATTGTGACAATCGACAATATACTAAAATAATACAGTCATATAAATGTTCATTCGATAAATATCATAAGAAGTAACGTTTCTAACATCAAAAAGAGACGATAAACAGTTAAACTATTTATTTTCTAGAAACTGATTGTTCAGATTACGCTTGTTTACTTTAAAATTTGAAATATATGGTATCAACGAAAGCTCAATTCGAATGAGATAGGCTCCATTTTTTTTCAAAACTTCATGGAAATAAAACTATTGCATGGTGTTTTTCAATAGTTACGAGGACTGTGCTTACATATTCATATCCGACATCTACTGCGCCAATTTCTTTATTCAATGCTTGTACATCTAAATAGGGTCCGACGATAAGACTGGTGCCTGTGTCAGCAATGGCAATGGAGTTGGTAGAAACTGCCTGATTATTTACGACAACGCTAAATGATATAAAATGGGGAAAAACAATTGAATAGTCTCTAGATTAACAAAATTTACCTTGTAAGGACAAAATCCCATTCACCTTGTATACTAACCGGTACATAAGTTAACGAACCTTGAAATTTTGTTGTATCTATACCTCCTAAAATTAACTCGCCACCTGCTGTTGATTCTAATTCAAGTCTAAACAAAACGATTTTCAATAGAGTTTGGATAATTAGAAATGCGATTTACTAACGGATTAAGATAAAATGAGAAAATGGGTGACGATATTAAACCCTGTGCCCACATATTAAAGAACAACGGTACTTCATCACCAACCGTCTGGTACTGATAGGATAAACCTAAGATCCCATCTATATCCAACGTGCCTGACACGTTTAGCGCTTCTGCAAATTCTTGACTTTTAACGGAGATGCCAGCGAGCTAAAAGGAGGGTGAAAAAGAAAATGGAAATAGATTGTAGTGAGTATTCTTACTGTTACGGTATCATTGTCAAATATACCCTCAGCGTATGATCCATCTTCATAAGCAATAGAAAAAGGCATTCCATTCGATTCATATGTTGACGATTGTGAATTATCATACACATTGTAAGCTAAAATAGTCAGTTAGACAGTAGATGAGAGAAACGTAACTTTCTGGTACAATCGATAAAAAAAAATGAAAGTGTTCAAAAAAAAATTTTGAATGGTTCGTTTTGTTCCCCTGCCTTTGCCGAGCATCCTATAAAAATTTCCCAACTGCCAGACTCATACTGGCTGAGTTAGGAGGGAGACAATTTTCAGTTTTTGCCATAGAGAATTTTTGGCAGGATTTTGCTAGAAAAAGGGTTGAAATAGATGTACTCTACATCGTTCGACAAAGAATGATTCGAGCAGTACAGTGGGACTGTGAGCAAATGCGTCAAGCCGAGAAAACCGCAGAAAAGTTTTTTCATTCGTTAGTGTTAAAATCTAAAAAGTCCGAATCTCGTTATGTGATTCTACTTTCAGAATTATCCATTATTTTAACAAAGACTATAGATTTTAGAGCTCCAAAAATTAGGTAGTCAAACTCGCCGCAGTCTGAGGAGTCGACTGGTGTACGATATTGATGGTTTTCGTTTAGCTTTGACCAAAAATCTTACGAAAAAAGGTTAGTCTACATTTAGTTAAAAACAAAAATCGGTCTACATTTTTCCCTATAATGTAAAAATAGTAAGGAACAAAATCGGATTCGATCTGAAATTACTTTTGCTAGTACAACTTTTGATGCTCTATCTAGTGTAGAAGTTTCATCGAGAACGTTTGCATGCTTCATTAGTTCAGAGCAAAACAAGTTGCAAAAAGTCAGTCTACATTTAGAGCGGAAATTGACTTCCGCAAGAATGAAAGCTGTTTTTATCTCTACCAAATCATGCAAACTGGATTTTTTTTTAAATAGAGTTGTAGACCGACGTCTGATCTACAATTTAGCCACTCAAAAAAAAACTTTAGTGGCGGACTTTTGGGAAAAACTGTAAGAGAAGGTCGGTCTACAAAAACCGGAAAAGATGCTTGTAAAATGATTATATCTAAAGAATAACATCAGAAAATTCAGTTTTTTCAACTTTCGAGTCCCATAACTTTGCAACGAAAGGACGTATCGAGTAGAAAAGTTTTGTGGAAGTGGGCAAAGTACTAGGCAAAGCACAGGAAAAAATTTGCTCAAGCGAGCCTCTTGTAACCTGAGTTATTATAGAAACATATCTAAACAAGTGATTGTACTAGAAAGTTACGTTTCTCTCAGATATAATTGATCAAAATAAAATGATCTCGCTTATAACATTTCTTTTGAATAAACATTATTTTTACTTTTCATTTAAATGAGATTTTAATTTTTTTCTCAATTTATTCTCAAGAATTTCTACTACCGGAATTCACATTTCTTCATGCACGAAAATCCGTATTGTAATATTGCTCGTGTGCATCGTTCTGGAACCCTTAAAACATAAATCGTCATTTCACAACTACTTACTGCCATTGCAGTTGCTACATTCACTAGACACTATCCAAAGATCCGATGATCCAGTATCCAATAGCACCGCAAAATTTTGCTGAGGTGTACCAATGCCAACAATACCTGTCCAAAAATACTAAAAAAGACGACAACGACACTTATTTTGTGTGAAAAACGTTTTATTCTCGGCTGTTTCGCACATCTCGATTCGATACACGATGAGAAAAACAATCAAAATGTTTTAACTTACATTATCAACATTTATCAAATTTTGAGAAACTGCTTTTGACGTTATTGTATTATAGTTTCTAAAATATTTGTTGAATATATTTTTTGTCCTAGTTTGCTGTTTGATAGATTTACGTTGAACAGGTATTCTAGAAGTAAAAGAAGAATTTTTTTATCCCAATGACTTATGTAGTGTTTGAAGAAAGACTAACCGTACTAGTTGTGCTGAATCGATGGAGATTAGCATGGAATTGTGAACAGAGTACAGAAAAATGATCCATTGGATAATAACTGAATGTTTCATTGTTATGGAACTAAGTGTTGGATTATAAGAAAGAACTTAGGATTACACGATCAATTGGAAAATCCATAAACCTGTTTTTGTCCGTTTAATGAGACCGACTTGAATTGATAATATTTTATACTGTAACAAACGAAGATATAGTAGTTTGTCCCATTTTTTTAGCTGTCACATTACTATTTATAACACTTTGTGACGATATTTGTCAATATATATAATTGTGTTACATGTTGCAAAGTGGAAAAAGGTACTGAGTATTAGAAGAGAACTAATTTAATTAAAAGCATCAAAGTAATTAATATTTAATGTGTTTAAAATAACGTACACATTTTTAAAATTATCCATCGTAATAGAATTTTTGAGAATAATCATCTCTTAATCAAATAGCGCTAGAAAAAACAGAAAAACAAGATTCATAAATGCCTCTGAAGTAAGAAACATCCACATTGTCGAATTTCAACTGGATTCAAAACTGACGCGGAAAGGTCCCGAAGTGATAAATCGTTTTTTGGATAAAAGACATGAAAAATCGTAGTTGTTGATTTTGTCCATGATAATATCGACTACTTTTGGGTCTTTAAAGAATGTTTGCTGGAAAATCATACATTCAAAAGCACAAAGCTTTTTTCTCAATTTAATCCATGACTGAATCAGGCATTTTTTTACAAAGCATCATATTTCCTGCGTCTATAAAGTATTTTGGCTGTTGAGCATGTTCTAAAACGTTGTCATATCACCGACGAAAAATTAAAGTTCATTTAGAGTTAAAGCAAAGTGCTTTTTTCGTATTCAGCACACTTGATAACCTGGAAAATTTTCTATTCTTAGCGAGGAGTACCGCCAAAAAGTTAAGAAAAATTTTTAAAATTGTTTAATTTTACCATGGGGATTTTTCTGCGTCAATTTATTTGAAAATTTTTCTTAACTTTTTGACGGTACCCCTCGCTAAGAATAGAAAATTTTCCAGGTTATCAAGCGGAAAACCACTTTTCTTTAACTCTAAACAAACTTTAATTTTTTTTATCGGTGATATGAAACAATTTCATTTGAAAGGCACATATGAACGAGGACTAACAGAAATAAGTGAATATATCATGGATGAGTTCAAAGTGTTTTTCAGAATAAGTAGCTGAGATAAAACTACGCTGTAGTTAACTGCTGTTTATAATTGCGATTGTTTTTTACTTGTTTTTTGAAGAAAACAAAGAAAAAGTAAACGTCAGAAGCCACTCTATTTTTTTTATTTTACTGAGACGATTTTATTCATTGCGAAATCAAAAACGCTTTTATTCAATAGCCAAATTAGGATTCAAATCGAAATTGATTCTCCAAGACTTATAATGTTTACCACTAACGTTTGAAAACAGCTGACGTACTTGGTATAATAATATGCCTTGTTACGTGAATGATCGTGATCTATGTAAGAACCATATTGGATATAAGACTCCAGCCTGCAAGCAGATCTCGAAAATCTGAATTGACAGTTCGATTCAGATTTTCGAGACCTGCTCGCGCGCCGGGCTCTTATATCCAATTATGTCCTTCTTTTTTCTTTTCATTATCCTTCGATAGTCATCGCTTTACCTTCGCCTATAAAAAAATTAAAATAGCCTATGTGACTTTGTCTTCCAGAAATTTATCGGGAAAATTAGAATCAGTTTTCCTTCCCAAATACATGTGTTCTATAGTTCATCACCGTTCAGTTTTCCACATTTGTACAATATATTTGTCTACATGGGAGATAGTTATGGCTATTTCAAATTTTCCGTCAAGCTGTATGCAAGCTGTTGCAACTGATACTTTATGGATTAATGTGGCTTTTTTTTTTCTATCATCAATGAGCTAAATGATACTAATCATTTAGAAAAAATTATTCTAAACGTGATACCGATCTACGGTATCATATAGATGTAATAACTAGTACACAATTGTGCTGCGCTCAAGTTGCGATGTCGACAGACATTGCGGGTCTAACGGAAGCCCAAAAAGAATTACAGTGTGTACTTTTTACTAAAAGATAGCACGTTTAATTCTCTACAAAATATGTATTGACTGTTTTATTGCAAAATTCGAAGATGGAGAATGAGATGAGAAATCCTATGAAGTACGAAGATAGAGAAAAAATAGGTTAAACAAACGTCTTTTACGTTTTATTCGCTAAACGTTTGTGGGAGGAAGGAAGCTGAAGTAGCTGTCATATAGGCCTTGGAAAGCTCAGTCTCCACTTATGATTAAAACTTTATTACAGTTAGAACTGAAGGCGTAAGCATAACGTGTTATTCTTGAAAATTTTCTAAAAATGATGATCTTTGATCAGAATTTTGCATCATTCGATAAAACACGTACAGTCCAGTCAAACTTCATTCTTTCAGATTGAATTATTTTTTAGTTTGAAAGCCAGTGATTAGCCTATATTTTTGGACAGGTAAGATTTGAAAAAAATCGGCCTTTGTTATCACGCGTAAGTAAGGTCCAAATCATTTGGTGTTTTCGATCAGCTGCCGATAAGTCAATCGTTGTGTCGGATATTTTCACTCAAAACAAATTTTTTTGCATGTCATAAGCAAGAGCACGTTCGAAACTACATAAAATATACTCAAATCGGGTCTGATGCTTGTGAAACCATTTGAAAGTAGCTCTCTATGAGAAAATACGTTATTTTTTTCGTAATTTTCATCAATACATATTTTGTAGGGAATTAAACGTGCTATCTTTTAGTAAAAAGATTTGCTCGATTAATTATGATGGAACGGAGAAAATTTGAACATACTTTCACTGTAATTCTTTTTAAGCCACCCGTTACTTATTACTCCATAAGTGGTTACCACCTCAGCGCACGTCGAGGTTAGAAATAGCAATGACTCATTTTTAATATCAAATACATTGACTTGTAGAACAGAAGGAAAAGGGAGAGAAAATTATATTTCCTCTCAAAAACAAACGGCGCCGGACAACAAGCTGTTAATGAATATATGAAAACTTTTTAAGTCTAAAGCCAATTTTCAAATGTTATTTAAATATTATTTCGAAATTTTTAAGTCTAAAGTCAATTGGTTAATATTAATAAGGTTTTATAACTAGGTGAAATGGATGTCACTAATGTGATAAACATTGCAAACTTCGGTTGATGTGAATCCCGATTTTAGAAACCCTGAATGACGAAATTTTTGATGTTATAATTACTGTAAGAGCACTTAGTTCGTTGATATCTATAATTGGTGAAATATTTTTTAAGATTATTTGTGTCTCTTACCTAATTGTATTCTAATTTTAGTTAGTGGACATCCTATGCTGCTCTCTACAACGGACAATAGTTGCATGCTCAAAAAATGAAAATTTCAATAATACATAAACTATCATTTATTTAAGAATTACACTACATGTTTAACCCTGATCCGACCATCTATAATATGCCCAAATTCTAATGGTTTCATTTGAGTACTGCCTGAACACAACGATTAGATTTTATCGCTTCACTTTATATTCCACTGAATGA